CCACAGCCTCGACCTGCTGAGCACCGGCGATCCTTCCGCCTCAGCCTTCCAAGTAGCCAGAACTATAGGCACAAGCTACCACGCCTGGTAATTTTTTGATTTATTGTAGAGACGAGGTCTCACCATGTTGCCCAGGCTGGCTCTTGAACGCCTGGACTCAGGCAATCCCTCGCCTCGGCCTCCCAAAGTGCTGGGATTACAGGCTTGAGCCACCGTGCCCAGCCTCCTCTCCTCTTCTTACAGGGACATCAGTCGTCAGTTTTAGGGCCCATTCTACATCTGGGATAATTTTACCTTGAAATCCTTAACTAATTACATCTGCAAAAATTCTTTTCCAAGGTCACATTCTGAAGTTCTGGGTGAACACTGTGTTTTTTTTGGGGGGGAGGTGGCCCTATTCAACCCACTACCCTCCCCAAACAGTCGGATTTTCTAAAGGTTCATCTGGTTCTGAAACAGACCCAGCAGGCCACGTGCAGGGGGAGGGTTCACGGCTGTGCTGGTAGGGTGCCACATGCTCCAAGAAAGCAGCTTCTGCCATCCGCAGGGCCACCAACCCAGCCAAGCTCCCAGTGTTCCTGTGCAGGGGGCTGTGAGGGACAACCTGGCAAGTCCCCACTGAACCTCGACACTGAAGCTCTGTGGGACGGATCTGGTCCTTAAAGAGCTGGATATCCCATCCCTGTGCCCAATAAGCTGCTGCCAATGGTGGGGCTGCACAGCCACCTAGGTCACCCTGCCAGGCCATCTCGAGGTCCCATACAAGTTACAGTTTCCTCACCCCTGACCTCTGGAAGGAGACTTTGGTCAGGAATTCGCTGTCTTATAAAGATCCACCCGGGACCTGGGAAGAGAGCCTGGATTCTGACCAGAAAACCAGGTAGCATTTGTATAGAAGAAAGATCAGTCAGGTGTGGTGGCTCATGCCTGTAATCCCAGGTAAGTGGGAGGGCTGCTTGAGGCCAGGAGCTGAAGCCCTGCATGGGCAACAAAGCAAGAGCTCATCTCTGTAATAAATAAGAGGCTGAGTACTGTGGCTCATACCTGTAATCCCAGTACTTTGGGAGGTAGAGGTGAGAGAATTGCCTGAGTCCAGGGGTTAGAGACCAGCCTGGGCAATTTGGGGAGACCTGGTCTCTACAATAAATCAAAAACCTTCCTGGGTGTGGTGGCGTGCACCCGTAGTTCCAGCTACTTGGAAGGCTGAGGTGGAGGGATCACCTGAGCCCAGCAGGTTGAGGGTGTGGTGGCCGTGAGCATGCCACTGCACTGCAGCCTTAGCAACAGAGTGAGACTCCAACTCA